TGGAATGTTCCAGTCTCAATACATAACAGCACCTGTTTAATATATATATATATATATTGAAATGGATGCGAATTGGAACTACTGCACATCTTAAGTTTCCATTATTATAAAATGTACTGGAAACATAAAGAGGATTGTGGAAGTGTGTGTGTGTTTGCGTGTGTCTGGGAATGAAGACACTGCAGCTCCCACACAGAACCAGACTCTGTTGGAACGCTCCCTCTTAGCTGTAGAGTCTTGTGAACAAAAATTCTACTTTGTGAGCCACTGGCCTTAAAGTTGTGAGCGAGCGATTTGGCCACTGCAGAAATCAGTTTGCTCTGGAGCCATCCTTCCTGAGCCAAGACAAAAATGTGTGAGCCGGAGGCTAGAAATCTGTGAGTTAGCTCCCACTAACTCGGCTTAGAGCAGGGGTGTCAAACGTGCAGCCTGGGGGCCGGATTAGGTCCCCGGAGGGCTTCTCTCAGGCCCGCAGTGGAGGTGGCTGTCTTCTGCTTCTTCTTCCAGTTCTGCTGCTGCTGCATCATCGTAGGTTTGCAGTTTACAGGTACACACCTGGACAGCATACTCAAGGTTGCAATAATTTCAGAGCAAGAGGTGTGAGTTATCAGACACTGTTAAATAAACAGAATATTGCAAGAGTGCTAATGTTTTAAGCATGTTTTTGTTTTAAATTTTAAAAAATCCCTTTGTGTTTGTGTCATTTCTAAAGTCTATTTCTCTGCTACCTGGCGTTACATTTTATGACAACACACAAGAAACCGCTGTGATCAAATGACAATGACACATTTAATAGACTTTGCCTTAAAACGGAGTCCAACTTATTCATTTTCTCAACAGAGTCCAGCATATTCCTCTCTTTTCTCGATGAGTACACCGGTTTTTACACTCATTTCAGCTATCTTCCTCAAGGGTAATCTTATAAAGTTCTTATAGAGTTGGAAGGTGTTTTCTTCTATGAATTATCCTGTAAAAAGCATAGTTTTGAGGAGTAGAAACAAACATGAAGCTGAATGTAATAATTTTGTTATCACTTTTAACTATAATTTAAAACTTACTTACAGTTCCATTGCATATTCTAGAATAGGAGCAAGCCAATAATTAGAATTTCTATTTGTAGCAGCCAGTCCATAATTTTATGTGGCAACAAGCCTACTTTAAATTGCTCCATTGCAAGTGGAGGAGTGAGGGAAAAAATGGAAAAGGGAGTCCTTCAATATAACGTTCAGAATTAGGAGTGTAAAAATGTTCTGGATACCTAAATTAACATATTTATTTCAAGTACTACCATTGGAGATTACCAAACGAAAACTGGAGAAATGGAAAGCAACAATAAGGGAATGAATATTTGGTAGTACAAAGACCAGAATCTCAAAAAAAATAATTTATAGTCATAATTCAGAACTAGGATGGGATGTACCAGACATAGTAAGTTATTATGAAGCCTTCCAGTTGAAAACATTTTAGAAATAGAGGAAGATGAGACGGAAGAGGAGACGACGGTGTAGGAAAGAATATTTTAAGTTTGTTAGACAATGGGATGCTTTTTGGAACGAGCAGGACCTGTACAAAAGAGATGGCCTCCATTTTCCTGAGATGGAACCAGGCTGCTGGCACTTAAAATCTACCCTGTTTGCATACATCTTTTATTAAATATCTGTAATTTAAAAGCCATATGCTTCAAGACGTCTCCTCTTACCACTGCGGGCGGGAGCTGCTGGCAGTCTGCTAATCTTCTGTGTTAGGGTTGTAATCCAGTAAGATGTAAAGAACAAGGCAGAAATTACATATATTACAGTTTGGTAGGAAAAAAAAGAGAGGAGATAACAAAAGTTGAGGTCAACTTCAGCTCCAGAAGCCCAACTTTTCTCTGCTTTTTTTTTTATTATTAACATTTTTTTCAGAAATTACACATTTTAAACATTAAACAAACAAAATACACCAAACTGTTTTGTTTATTTTATTTTTTTTATTTATTTAAATTTATAACCCGCCCTCCCCGTGAACGGGCTCAGGGCGGCGTACAGATGGGGCCAATGCCCACTACATACAACATTAAAACTGCATTTTAAAAACATTCAATACAAAAGTATTTTAACAATACAAATAAAAAGTAAACCATTTTTTTATACTGTGGATTATCAGGAATAATGTCATTATTCAACATAAAATTTATAATCGGATAACAAACAGCTACAACTTTTTCTCTGCTGCTTTTGCTGGAATGAGAACCTGGTGGAGATGGGTTCACCTGTCAGTTGGGTCTCGCCCATGGGGGAGTGGTAAGGGTGAAGGAATATATTCTCTCCTTTCCTGATGTGGGAAATCCAAGAGGGAGATATGTCTGGAGCCTTTGTAAAGTGCTCCCTTCACGTCACCATTTCCCCAAGAAGTCTCCCCCGTATGAATCCTTCGATGTGCCATTCTGAGTAAACCCCTTTCAATGCTCCATACATTTGTACAGCTACTCCCCTGTGTGAACCTTCTGATGTGTAGTTAGGGCGCTACTTTGAGAAAATGCCACATTTAAGGCATCTATAAGGCTTCTATCCAGTATGAATCCTTTGATGTGATTTTAGGGAGTCATTCCGAGAGAAGCACTTTCCACACTCCAAGCAGTGATATGGCTCCTCCCCTGTGTGAACCCTTTGGTGTGAAGTTAGGCTGCAACGGTGGGAGAAGCACTTTCCACACTCCAAGCATTAATATGTCTTCTCCCCAGGATGAATCCTTTGATGTGTCCTTAGGTGGCTATTGTTAGAGAAGCACTTTCCACACTCCAAGCATTAATATGTCTTCTCCCCAGGATGAATCCTTTGATGTGTCCTTAGGTGGCTATTGTTAGAGAAGCACTTTCCACACTCCAGGCATTTGTATGGCTTCTCCCCTGTGTGAACCATTTGATGTGATTTTAGGGAGTCATTCCGAGAGAAGCACTTTCCACACTCCAAGCAGTGATATGGCTTCTCCCCGGTATGAACCCTTTGGTGTGCCCTTAACTGGCCCTTGTCAGAGAAGCACTTTCCACACTCCAAGCATTTACATGGTTTCTCCCCTGTGTGAACCCTTCGATGTTTAGTTAGCTCACCATTCTGAGAGAAGCACCTTCCACACTCGAAGCATTTATATGGCTTCTCACCAGTATGAATCCTTTGATGTGTCCTTAGGTGGCTATTGCTAGACAAGCACTTTCCACACTCCAAGCATTTATATGGTTTCTCCCCTGTGTGAACCCTTTGATGTTTAGTTAGGTCAACATTCTGAGAGAAGCACCTTCCACACTCCAAGCATTTATATGGTTTCTCACCAGTATGAACCTTTCGATGTGTCCTTAGGTGGCTACCCTGAGAGAAGCACTTTCCACACTCCAGGCATTTATATGGCTTCTCCCCTGTGTGAACCTTTTGATGTGAAGTTAGGCTGCCACTGTGGGAGAAGCAGCGTCCACACTCCAAGCATTTGTATGGCTTCTCTCCAGTATGAACCCTTTTATGTGTCCTTAGATTGCTATTGCTAGAGAAACACTTTCCACACTCCAAGCATGTATATGGTTTCTCCCCTGTGTGAACCCTTTGATGTTTAGTTAGGTCAATATTCTGAGAGAAGTACTTTCCACACTGCAAGCATTTATATGGTTTCTCCCCTGTGTGAACCTTTTGATGTGTCCTTAGGTGGCTATTGTTAGAGAAGTACTTTCCACACTGCAAGCATTTATATGGGTTCTCCCCTGTGTGAAGTTTTTGATGTGATTTTAGGTAGTCATTACGAGAGAAGACCTTTCCACATTCCAAGCAGTGATATGGCTTCTCCCCGGT